AGACACCAAAAAAATGCAGGCATTTGCAGTGAACGATGACTAAAAGTGCAAACAAAGTCTTTGTAATGGCTTTCACTCATCGACAAAAACTTTAAGAAAAGAATAGGATCAGATGCACACTTTTTGACTTCTGTTCTCATCTGATAGATCTTGAGAACGAGAGTAAAAATGAACTGCTTTGTACATAAGAGTCACTGCGCAAGACCCACAACCAATGGTGCCCAATACAAGATACCAGACTTTTGCGCTTATCCTCTGGTAGTGCCAACTGAATGATGTGTGCGAAAAAAGAGTTTGAACAAATTTTCATGAGCTAAGTTAAAGAAGTTCTATTTCAAAAGTGAACTTTCTAATGCTACGCTATAATTTTTCTACGAGTGCTAGGAAAAATTTGCTCGAAATCTCCCAAAGAATTCAAATTGGAAGACATTATATAACTATAAAATGAGATAGGCTTCATGTAAATTCAAGACGTCAATTACAACCTCTATGGCGCGAAGGTGCCTGTCTCGTGCAATTACTCACAAATCTGGTTTAGATGTTTGTCGTGTTTTATGTGAGGTTTCGCTTCCTCAGACGCGAATCGCTTCCAAGCACACGAAAAATTGTTGTCTCTTTCTGAGATTTGCTAATCAAGCTGATGATATCCAGATGATGAATGACATCAGTTCACCATCGGTATTTTCCGTTTACTTTTGTGAATAATGCGTAATGCGTAAATTCAGAAGAAAAGATGAAGTAAAGAAGAACGTGCCTACTACGAATATAAAAGTGAAAGGCGACAGTTAAATATTAGTGAGAAAGAGAAAGTGAATTGAAAGAATGTCGCTTCATGTTTTTCTCTTGCTGGCGTTTACAATTTCCAGTGGACACAGCTTTTTGGACATCACCATTTGGCATAATTCAACTGACGCAAAACCTTAACTGCTACAAGCTGGAGAATATTCTCTGTATTTCTCCTTGTGGGGTATACTGTGTCATTTTCACGTTTATTGACTCATCTAATAATGTTATGTACGTGCAAGACATGATAATGAGTAAAACGTTGGCTTTCACTGATGTGTCGACGCTGTCCATGAAGTCAACAGCTGTAGGTCTGAAAGACTACGGTTCCATCCGCATGAGTCGTACACGATGTTCGAAGTTTTCTAGTTCGACTACAGATGTCGGCTTTGGTAACAGCACAACCTTATCCTACGAAACTTTTCGAAATGCATCACTATGCATTTGTGCAACGAATGGTTGTAACAGTAACATGACTAGATGTATTACGTCCACCATTATCTACTTTCTTCCTGTATGGTGTCACTTCTTTCCAACTTTACTTCATCCATAGCTTGAGTAGACGATGGAGTGATCTCCAATAGTTTTTATAACTATGCTCGCCTTCGATGCGCGATATATAATAATGACTTTAATCTTTCCATAAACAAAATTACTGCGTGAGTCATTATGCAATGAATTCTGTCATGTGTACTATTAGCTTGTCACGTCGTGACAGTTATTCTTTCGAAGATTACGATACGAGTATTGGTGTAGAGTGACAGATTACTCAATATTACTCATACCTCTATCAAGAATACCTCTTAAATACGTCTCCAATACAATTTCAAATCTTCCAAAGCTCGACGAATCCCTTGTATTTTTTTCAGTTCCAGGAGAATCACCTACACTGTACTCAAAAGTCCATTGCACAACAAATAATTGCAATGTCAATTTCGATACTTGCGCTAATAGATTAAACTTTAATCTGGCAGCCTTTTACGGCTCAAATTCATCAACAACTTCGACTACACAAAGCACAAAAAGCACGATCACAACAAACAGATCCAGCACTTTAACAGTGTCGAAAGTTAAAGAAAAAAACACTATAGTTACGACCGCCACGACTACTTCAACTGCCACCGTTACAAATCCAATGAGCGCTTCGTCATCTGGTTAGTCGTTCGCACAAAGTAAGCTCAAAGACCTAGTTTTATCTATCAAATAGTTACTCTTTTTTCTAGTGTCAACGTCGAACACTCCACAAGATTTCACAGCTCTTACAAGAATTATTATAGTCCAAAATCTCATGCTGTTTCTAATTATCTTCCTACGAACATGTTCTAAAATCTTCAACAATAACTTGTTTTGCCTTTCTATATACTTATGATGATGTGGATATGTTCTAATGTTTTCTCATTCACGATTGTTTTATGCTTTTCGTACCCATCGATTTAACTCTAACTTTTGTATATCACAGCATTATTCATAATTGCATACTCTAGACTTTCAATCAATCAAAATATATGCTGAAAAGTCACTGTGAGCGCTCTTACTGTGGCTCAAGAGACTCTTCATGTGGTTTCTATTGGTTTTATTTCCTATATAGTAAAGAAACTCGTGACAGAGTGAATGTATGAGTTCGGTTGTGGGTGTCAGAGTAGAGACGAAGTACATAGTCACATTTACAAATACACTCCTACTCTCATCTCATCACCCATATGCCCACATATACGCTCCATATCCACACCTACACGCTCTATGAAGCTATCAATACGAGTTCAATAAGCTGTGTTAATTTTAAAAATATTCTGTTTTCATTACTTTGTGCAATTCATATGGCGCAATCATCATTTGACTTCCCTTTCCGAAGTGGAAATAAGACAAGACAGTGATTCCTGCAAGATTAATACACTTTTTAGATCGTATTTTTCAATCGAGTTCAACATCAATAACGTTTGCATACTAGGGGTATGGGTGCAGATAAGCGTATGTGCTTCCTTTTCATGCACACCCATACATGCATCCACATCGACACCCACACTCACCGTAGGTTATTAATGTTAGAATTTAGTGATCATGAAATGGGGCAAGCATTAAATTATGAAACAATCAAGTCGTGGAAATGTGTTTAAAAAATTTGATGAACACAATTTAAGATTGAATGAGAATTTTTTTAACAACTGAAATAACACATAACCCCCTCCTAGAATAGTGTGTAAAACCTCGTTTTATGGCACTTATATGCCAAAAATATATTTTTGAATATCAGAAAAGTGTTGTCAAAACTCATGATTTTCTCGGTAAGTGTTAGCAGAAACTAGTCTGCAATAGAAGATCACCTTTGAAAAAATTATTTGAATTTTCACAATAGAATGTCATGGATTTTTATTTGGGAAGAGAAGAAGAATGTTATGTGAAGTTTCATATGCTTCAGTTGATATAAAAACTGTTATGCAAAAAATATTCGTCAATTAGTATCAACAAGAAATATTTATGTAAATACAATAAATGCAAATCTTTATTATGACTGTTTAGAAGATCTTGAGCTTTATAAAACATATTCTATAAATAAATGTACGTAGTTGATATTCTTTTGTATCCTCTGTTAATGATATTAGGTTTCCTGTATAGATTGGAGACGATTCTTTAACAGTTCATGGCAAAGAATTAGTTAAGTGTCGTTAGGAACAATTTATTTTATTTCGTGATACTTTTATGAAACATGCAAATGCAGTTAACAATGAAGAACTTCTTCCATTATGTAAGTTTGTTAGATATGAAATTTCATCAGAGTTCAGCAAGTGAATTAAAGATCAAGGCATGAATTGGTTTTTCTAGGTAGAAGTGTCAAAATGTGAAGGTAAAAACAAATGTGATTAATTGAAAATGAAATAAACAACAAGAAATATAGTGACGATAATTAGGAGAAAAATTGATTAAAGAAGCAAAGAAAAATACAAGTAAACAAAACAAGAATAAGACATTGATGTTCAATTATTTTTTGTTTTGGAGTAATAGTATTTGTATTTCATTATTTCGTTTTACAATTCTGATTGAAAAAGTTTCTCACGCTCAACTACAGCAAAAATTGCTACTGTGAATATGGAACAACCGGCATAACTAACGAAGATTCTAAATACACAGACCAGTTTATGAACTTTTATCTATTTTAATTTGCTTCGTCATTTTTTTGTTAAATAAAACTCACACGAAAAAGTTTGATTTTCTCTTTTAGAAAGAACCATACAAATATATTGAATATTCATTGAGCTGTATAAAAAGAATTCAATGTATAAATATTCATCCATCAGACATAAAGATTAATTATTCTATGTGATTAAATGCGATGTGACATATAAATTTAATTATAACTAAAAATGTCATCTAAATTATTTTGATTATCATTGAATGAAACTTTCTGTTTTCACTTGACTGTGTATGGCGTAAAGAAACGCATGGTTTATAAATAGTTTCTGTGTGAACTTTTTTTTTTATAGATAACCTCCAACAAAATCATTAATGAATAAAGTAATATTGCAATTAGTTATATTCGAATTAGAATACATAAAAACTAGAACTATGGGTGTTAGAGCAGAAAATATCAACACCTATACCCATAGTCTGCTCAAAGTATATATCCTAGTAATTTTATAAATGATTAGTTTTGTTCCGTAAAAAGAATTTCTATTTCACAAAGATAGAGGATTATTAGAATTAGTAAATCATTGAAAAGAAAAAGAAATCAGCTTGTGCAGTCGAATAACCGTTCCAAGTGAACACTGATCGTTTGAAAAAAACACCTGAAGATTTTTCAATAATGAACATCTTTTGCTAATCCCAGTGATACTCACATTAGAGAGGTTTTACCGTAAAAAGATAGTCTTCTTAAAACTAAATTTAAAAAAAAAGCCGCTAAACTTTCTTCAAAAAAAAACAGGTTTGACATTAGATAATAGAACTCAATCGAATGAAATGATTTATCATTTAATCTATCTTGTAAATCGAAAATATCATATTCGAATAGAAGCTTTTATCAATCAAACCTGTTCTCTGATTATTATAATACAAAGTTACCGATTGAAAAACAATTGGAGAAACTTTATTGCCTTTTTTTATTCTTAACACGATATGAGTTTTTTCCGATCAATCTTTTATATTAGTACAATAAAATATATTATTTAATCATAGAAAAATAAATTAAACAAATGTTATTATTGTCGTTGTTTGTTTATTTTTTATTTTTTGCAACATGTTTCATCAGCTTTTTTAACCGGTTTTGGAATATCACTTGCTGGATTTATATCGAAAAATCCATTCGGTTTAAGAGTAAATCCACATATAACAACAGGCATAACAGGAAAATCTTCTTGTCTCGGTATATGTGTTACACCAAATGTATACCAAAGAACAATATCTTTATCAACAATTGATCGATCTTGTTCAGTGTATTTTAATAAACCAATATCACTTTGACTTTGATTTGGATAATTTCCTGATCCAAACATTTCTTTCTCATCAAATGGTGTTACCCATACATGATAATCAACAAAACTAGCACGTTTACGCCACCAAGCTTTTTTTGAACTCAATGGTATAGCATTATCACCTGGATATAATTTATAAGCTGTTGGTTGACCAATAGCATTTTGAGTAGAATTATTTTCAAATATCCATGAACGAGATTTTTCTAGACATAAATTATTTCTTGCTTGTTTTTCTGTTTCAAGTTGCATTTTATTTATATGAAATGCATTATGAAATTGATTATATTCAGCATCCTCTGGATCAGCTTCAGCTTCAACCATATATGCGGT